ACTTGCTGGGTGCGGGTTGCCACACCTTCAATTTGTAAAATACGCGCTGTGAAACTCAGTAAAATGAGGTGTGCCTGGATGGTCTTCGGGTCTGTAGGATTTTACTGAGAACAGTGCTATGAGAACGGCAGGTGGGGATAAGAGGAGAGAGGGTGACACAGCCCTGCAGGGACCTGCGGCAGGGGCCAGCCATCTGTAAGGTACAATGAGACCAGAACACAGTGGCCCGTGTGTAAGTCGTGTAACAGCTGTCACCGCAATTGCTGCCACCTCCACATGCCAGCCATACACTATTTCATAGTTCTCTTTTCATAGGTTTATTTTAAAAGCCTGGCATTTAATAAAAAAAATCTTTATATCACTGTCATACCTGAAACCTGGCATTTTCTAATGAGCATTGACACGAGTTCATAACTGTTAAAAATATTCATCATGTAACCTGTAAAACGTTGTACACCCCTGGGGCTTTGAGTAAGTTGTTGGTGTGGGCTTTTACACATAAGGGGGTCTCCAGGCATGTCTGATGGTGATGCTGCGGGGGAGCTTGATATTGGCAAGAAATAAGGAGTAGGGTGATTTGTACCAACTTGCCACCCCCATCAAAGACACTTCAGAAGGGGACCCCTCCTGCTTAACCAAGGGTCACCCGGGCTCCATGTCAGCACCTCCAACTTGGGAGAATGACAGTTCAGAGGCTGGGTGAGGATGAACTGAATTCATGTATGCGTAAGGTGTTTAGAACAGGGTCTAGTGCATTGTAAGTGTTCAAGGGTTAACAGGCACCGTAACTTGGGAGATTCTGCCTGAGGGTCCTCGGCTGCCATCAGAGGTGCATCATCTGCTGCTCGGGGACACAGCCAGGAGAGACGCCATCTCCAGCTCCCTCCCACCCTCGGCCCGTCTCTGTTGTTCTCCAGCTCCTCTGTTGGGACAGGTGTGCCCAAGTGGCAGGACCACAGTTTCCCTCATGATTATGGGATTGGACTAAGGAGTAGTCTCAGCATTAGTCATCACAAAATATCCCATTGGTTGGGGGCCATCTCTGTCCACTAGAGGTTCTGGAACGGGCTTCCAGGGACGGACACTCGTGTGCACCTGCCGGGGCCTGGTTGCATCTGGATCTGCTGTTCCACCCGAGCAGCCCCAGTCGTTTCTGGAACGAGACTCATGGCCTGGAGGGAGAAAGGAGCTGTGGGAAGCAATCCCAGTTTTCCTGGCTGGACTGGAAATTCTGCCTTGGGCCCTGGAATTCTGACTTCCTGTTTGGCCTGGCGCTTGTTCCCCCACGTATTAGGCTGTGACAGTTCCTCTCCCTCCCCTTCTGGGGATCTGGTTCCTCATCTGAAAAATGAGGGAGTTGCACCAGATTGGACCTAAGGTCCTTCCAGCTTGAAAAAGCCATGATTTGCCTCCCACCCTTTCACTTTTCCCTCTGGCCTCTTGATTGGCAGCCAGAAGCCAGGTAGAAGGAAGAGACGGAGGAGAGCTGTGCTTCCACAGTGTAAGGACAGGCGCACAGCGCCGACTGTCTGGCCCCAGATGTCAGTGGTACCGAGGCTGAGGAACCCTGCTCTGGGGGAGGAGAGACAGGAGGGAAAACAGATTTAAAAGGCAAATGCATAAGTACCCTGCAGATAACCAATGGTGAGACAAATGATAATGAAAGGAAAATTTCAGGGAGAAAATAAAATGCATGGGAAAAAGGTTTATAAAGGGGGAAGGAAAAAGTTGTTAGGCTGGGGGAGAATGTGTTTGCAAAGTGACCACAACCGGGGTTGTTACAGTGTAAGCCAGTGTCGGGGTGGGGACTGATACCCTCCGTTCGCTCTGGAAGATGCCACCCCTGGGTAGGGGCTCCTGTGGAATCGTGGCAGTGCAGCTAGTCAGTAGTGGTGCCTGGCGATGCAACATGGTGGCCTTAAGGCTCACAGACTGGATGGTCCGAAGACTTAGGTGGTCATTATCATATGAACGTAATCACGCGAGCCCCTCATGGTTAGTTTTTCTATGAGATCTTTGCTCCTTATTGAAATAAAAACCAATCCATTATCTCCATCTCTAGAGGAAGATACCATGAAAGCAATATGAAAAGAAATGAATGTAGAACACCTTCATGACCTTGGGAGAGGGCAAACTTGCACCAACAGGACATTGAAAGAGCCAACTAGAGAGGAAAAATCAACAAATCAGACTTTATCCAAATTAGACACCTCTTCTCATCAAAAGGCACCACTAAACACATGAGAAGCCAAGCCGCAGACTCAGAAGATTTCTGCAATACATCTATCTGATCAGGCATTCATGTCCAGAATATATGAAGTTAATAAGCATGTTACATAAGCAAAAAAACAAATGACCCTCTAAACACCAGTCAAAAGACTTAACAGACACTCACAAAAGAGCATATCCAGATGGCCAGGGAAACCGTGAAAAAGTACTCATCATCATTATCACCAGGAAAATGCAAATTAAAACCACAAGGAGACACCACTACACACCCACCAGAACGGCCTCTATGAAGAGTGGAGACACCAAGTCTTCCCGAAATGGGAAGCATCTAAAGCTATTGTGCGTTGCTGTGGGGGGGTGCAGAAATGTACAGTCACTTAGGGACTTGCTTGGCAGATTCTGTTAAAGCTAAAGATATGCCTCCTCTATAACCCAGTCATTCCACCTCCATGTATATATGCCCAGGAGATGTGAGTAGATATACAACAAGAAGATATGGACAGGAGTGTTCGACGGAGTTGTCTCCCAACCTGAAACACCCCCGATTCCCATCAACAGAAGATGAAAGAAATTAATGGTGGTGTGTTCACACACTGGAGCTCTGCACAGCAATGAAAGATTACCCAGGGTCTGATTCTGTCAATATGAAATTCAAGAAGAGGCAGGGCTTAAAGGCGATGGGTCAAATCGTGATTCTGTCCGGCGGGGATGGACTGAGAAGGTGCGCAAAGGCACCTTTTGGGGTGCGAGAAATATTCTGTATCAGGACTGGAGTGGTGGTTATATAAGTGCATATATATGTAAATGGTCATAAGCTGTCCATTTAAGATGAGTACATTCTATGTATTTTACTGTATATATCTTATACTTTGATCTAAAAAAAAATAGAAAGGCAGATTTTTATGTCCAAGAGATGTAATCACAACATAACTTACTGAACATCCAATAGATGTGAGGTGTTTTTTATAGATTATTTCACGTAATCCATCCAAAACGCCCTATTGGCCAGGTATGGTTCTCATTGTACAGATGAGGAGACTGCGGCTCAGGTAAGTTAAACAGTCTGAGTCTCACCGCTAAGTGGAAGAGCCAGGAGGTGAATGTTGCGATCCACACCACTGCCCTGTGGCCTGGGATCTTGGGGTGATTCTCAGGCAGCATCAAAGCTCCCTATTTTGCTTGCTTCTGCCCCCAGCCCCTCAGCGTCAAAGCCATGTTTTTAAAAAGAGCTGCTGCATCCGGTATTCCTTATGTTCCATGGACTCAAATCCTTCTACTGTCTCAAAAACAAAAGCAACGTGGAATGGGGAACCTAACCCTCTTATGTAGGCCTTCCACGAATTTTTTCCGATCAGAAGAAGAATCCACGATTTCCCGGCGCCCGGCTCAGCCTGACTGTCCGTGTCGCCCAGCCTGACTTCTCCGGGCCGGTGACACTGAGTCCCGGCGACAGCCCTCCTGCTTTCCTCCTCCTGACCTGTGAGGCTCTCGGGAAGTCAGTCTCTCAAAGCCTTTGCTTTGGGTCAGAAGGGGACCGTGGTTCTTATCTTCTGGTCTCACTGCGGGGGTTAATGATCACACACAGGAAGCCCTCAGTTCCTGTCGGAGCATAGCGAGTCCTCAGTAAAGCGGAGTGTGGCAATGTCCCAGCTTTCACTTGACTGAGGCCTGATTCCTTCCTGGCCTCTCCAAGGAGCTTTGCGCGTTTCTCCTCCAAACAATTCAAGAAAGTTAGCTATGATTTCTCTGCCAAGTGGAGGAATGAACGGATGGGGCCGAATCTCAGTGGTCAGGGGGAGGCCACATCCAGCTAGGCTGGTCAGAGGCAGGTCTTACTGGGGTGGACCTTCAAAACCGGGTAGGATTTTGTCACAGGGAGAGGATCAGGAAGGTCATTCAAATTCGTGGGGGAGGGAGGGGGCCTGGAGGGCAGACGTGGAGTTGGGGAATGGCACCGAGGCCACTGTGGTGGGCACCTGAGGTTTATGGAGGAACTAATGGAAGATAAGTTGGAAAGGAAGGAAGACTGGCCCCAGATGTGGGCCTGCTGAGAAAGCAGGGCTTTGTCTACAGGAAAAGGGGTCGCTGAGCATTCCTGAGGGGGGGGAGGCGGAGGATGAAGCCAGGGGGTGCAGACCCCATGAGGGGTGGGGAAGGCGGCTAGGCCAGGGGGCCCGTGAAGAAAGAAATGGGCAGGTTCAGGAGATGGGCTGGCTGTCGCCCCGGGTGGAGGCGGCCGGATGGAAAGGAGGGCGCAGGTAGACGGGGAGGTGGTGAGGGGCTCCTGAAGTCTCAGAGCTATTTTCTTGAGTTTACAAAGCAGGAGGGAAGCAGAGAGAAAGTCCGTTTGGAGATGGTATGAAGGGGATTTCGTACGGCTAAGATGGGAGGGCTCATCTCCCCTCTCCCTGCTTTCTCATCGTCTTCAGCCTGCTATTTGAACGTCCTCAGCAGCACACGGCGCCCTTCCTGGCTCAGACTTGCCCGGTGCCCCTGGAGGACCCACACGGGCTTTCTGCAAGCTTGCTTCCCACACCAGGCACCTAGGAACTGCGCAGAGGGAGGCGTGTGGAGGCCAGAACAGATGCCACCACAGAATCTTTTCCAAACCTATGCCTCGCAGAGACAAGAGCTTGTTTAGACGCTCTACCAAGGGGCTGGGGACCTTTTTCAGCCTGTGCAAAGTTAACCAACTTGAAAGCCTCCTGACTTTACAGAGAGATGCAAACAGTGTTTTGAATAACACCCCCTTTGTTATCGTTGTTTTCCAGGGCTGTAGCCGTGGCCAGGAAGAAAACCGCCCCCTCTGAAGGTTGTTTTTATGACTGTTCTTTGGAGCATTGTTCTAAAAATGGGAAATTACAGATCGCTGTGCCAAAGGAAACAAACACCTGCAGTTGAAGGAATGCCTTCCACGAGGTGGCTTTGGAGCTCCGGCCGGTGCAGGACACACAGCTGCGCAGAAGTTCCCTTGGTATCTTTCTTCATCCTCAAGGAGATTGGGTGCAGGCTTACATTTGTAACCGGGGTGGGCTTGGCAACTAGGGGACTCTGGTGATCGTTCTTAACTTACATACTCAATAAACATCCCTGAAGCATCTATGCCGGGTCAGCGTCAGCGGTTCTCACTATTACCCCTTTCCTGGCATTGTTAAAAATCACTGGAAGGGTCGTCTTCAGGGGGCTTTTCTGGTCACATTTTTTTCTCATTTTCAGAGTTCGTGCATGGCTTCTGCCTCCCCGTAATAAGGAGCTAGAGAGGGCCACAGCGCATTCTGTCCTTCCTTCCCTTCTTTTATCTCTCTCTCTCTCTCTCATTCATCTCCCTTATTTTTCTTCTTTATTAGTCTACAAAAAAAAAAAAGCGATTTTTAACCTGTTAGTCAATACATTTCTTTAGGCATATGCGTTTTCAAACTTTGCCATTACGCGGGTACAGACACTCTGAAATTCCTGTTCTGTGGTGTTAGACGTCGAAAGATCATTTTTTGGTTATCTGGTTAATAGTAAACGTCTAGCCACATTGATATAATTGTGCAATAGGCCTGGAAACGTATCAAGCGTGAGGTGAATACATTTCAGATAGATTTGTGGTCTAAAGAGCATCCAGTTTCAGAAGCTGATCTCATTTTTATTAGAAACAAGAAAGGAAGGAGCAAAGGGAACAATGAATTTCAGTTTTTGAATCTTGAGCTTGCCAGATTTAGCAGATAAAAATACAGGACGCCTAGTTACATGTGAATTTAATATAAATAATGAACCCCGTCTGTAGTATACGGATGTCCCAAATACTGCTTCGGTGACAAAGGGCGGCGTTTGGGTCTCAGGTGGCTTAGGGCAGGGGAGGCACTTTAGCGGGTGGGCACCGTCTGTGCGAAGGTGCGAGGTGTGAAGGGCATGGAGCTGGGGACTGTTGCAGATGTGACTGAGTGTGCCGCCCGAGGAATGAGGCCTCCTCGTCAGGAAGAGCCTCTGCTCTGGGCTGGGGGCATCGGATACCCCCTTTGTCCATCAGTCCCTCTTGGGGGACTGCACACACGGGAGGCTGGCTGGGGAACAGACCAGAAGTGGACCTGGGCTGTCCTGGATGCGCCGCCAGCTCTGCCGCATGGCTTTGTGGCTTGAAGGGCCAACATGAGAAGGTTGCATCTCTCAGAAGCGGCTGCAGCTAGGCCCCCAGAATGATGGCTGCTTCCAGAAGTACATTTATTAATTTGCTGTGAGAAATGCAAAGATCTAGTAGGCTAGACAAGCCTTGTGAAGGCTGGGTGGCGGGGTGGACTCAGAACCGAGGGGCTGGTGGAGGGCTCTCCCAGCGCGGGCTCCTCGGCCATGGGAGCTGCCCTGATTCCTCCGCTGCTCATTCTCCCCGTTCAGAACCCATCTGTCTCCCTTGAGCTGCTGCTCATCCCCTCCTCGTTGGCACACTGACCTCTCTATTCATCCTGCGGGGCACAGTATATCAGATTAGATTCCCACTTGCTAGATGGTACCCTCATTCTAGTCCTGTCCCCTCGGGTGACTCCCTGACCACCTTGCTGGAGTATAGGGGGTAGCTGAAATCTTTTCTCCCAGTTAGAGACCAGCTCTTGCTTCATAGAGTCTTCCCCAATCCACTGTCTGTGAATTTACCAGCCTAACTCAAAGGGCAACCTTATTTCCAAGGCTTGTCCTTTGCTGCACCCCCAACATAGGTGGGGGAAGCAAAGCATGAAATTGTTTGATTTCAGCAATCATGGGAAGAGTAGTAGAAAAGGTGGCAAGACTGGAATCTTAGAGACTATTTGGAGGCAGAATAATGGCACCCCAAATATATCCATGTCCTAATCCCTAGAACCTGTGAATAAATTAGGTCAATAAATAATAAATTATGACAAAGGGAAATTAAGGTTGCCGATGGAATTAAGGTTGCTAATCAGATGACATTGAGATGGGGAGATTATCCTGGATTATCAGGGTGGGCCCAATGTAATCACTAAGGTCCGTATGTGTGGAAGAGGGAGGCAGAAGGGAGGACAGAGCCAGGGACAGAATTAAAGAGGGGGCCCTGCTGACTTTGAAGATGGGGGAAGGGGCCATGAGCCAAGGAATGAAGAAACTGAGATAGTAAGGAAACGGACTCTCCTGGAGAGCCTCCTGAAAGAGCACAGGTGTCCTGACACCTTGACTTTGAGCACAGTGAGGCCATTCTGGACTTCTGACCTCCAGACCCATAAGATAATATGTTTGTGGATTTTTTTAAAGCCATTAAGTTTGTGGTAATTTGTTACAGCAGCCATAGGAAACTAATTTAGAGGCTATTTGCAATAATCCAGGTCACAGATGGTGAAGGCCTGCTATTGGCAATAGGGTAGAAAGAAGGGGTCAAGTTCAAGGAGATGGACTCAGAGACCAATTGGACACACAGGGTCAGAGGTTCAAGAGACCCTTTCTCTTCCTTGATGCACTGAGGCTGGCTCCTCATCTCATCTCTCCTGCAAGTACCAACTCAAGTCTCCATCCTGCCCTAGGCCTGGGGGAGTACCTACTTCTGCCACCAGGGTCCTAAGAGGGAACTCTAAAGAATGCTCTATGGTTATATGCCTCACAGTTACATGGGGGTCGGGTGCTGCAGGCATATAACTTCAGATATTTTATGAGTTCATTGACTTTCATGATAGGCTAGGAATCCATTCACTTAAGGGGGGAACAAATCTGAGTTCCAAACCTCTAGTTTACCTGTTTTGACACTGGTGATCATGCATGCTTGGCTAAATCTATTTTCAGACTTTTTTCTTTTGCATGTACTATAGTTTTATAGTTTCAGTTTGTGCGTGAAAATATGTTGGGTGATGACTCACACTCACATGGTTCCCATGTGCCCACTGGTGTGTTCTGGAAGCGCTTGGGAGGAACAGTCCCTAATTACATGTTTCAGAATGCTTTGTTTGTGTGGCCCCATCATCATTAATCAAGATTTTCTTTATCATCTATCTGAAGCCATTTTGAGCACCAGTCACCCCGTGGTGAATTACTACCCACAAATCCCTTGGCATCTGCAAACAGCATGCCTTGCATCAACCATCAACTAGACATAATTTTATCTGTATCATCTTGATAAAGTTGATGAGGAACGGTTTGGCTCCCTCTTCCTGCCTCATGAGTCATTTATAGATTTTTCTGCCAGGCTAATTTCATCAGCTCACGTGCTGAGAGTGTAAAACTTCAGTTTTCCTACTGCTTAATCAGTTCAGGCCATACACCAACACACAGTAAGGGCAGGCCCTGGGATTCTGCAGTGTGATGACTGTGTTAGATAATGACCATTCCTCTTTAGCTTTCCTCAAGAGTAACTATTCCTTGGATTGCAGGCTGTAGGGGTAACATAATTTTCAAAGAAAATTTTCACCCAGATTTACAGTTTAGTTGACAATGTGATCAAAATACGTAGCCTTTCCAGCTGGGCTCCTCAGAGGTGTGAATGCTAAGACTACTGTAGTGATAGTAACACTATCTTGTGTTTCATCTTTGTTTTGATTTACTGAGATACATTTTAAGTTTCTTCTTTACACACTTTGTGTGTAATGTTTCTCCAGTGCAGGAAGCTTATATTCTTACGTTGGCTTCCTGTGTTTTAGAGTTTGGCATGTACCTAGGGAAAATGCCTGATTATATGGTCTAACTTTGAGGTTTGTTCACTATTGTATTAGATGTTTCTGTTTGTTTTAGGACAAAATAATAAAAAGCCCACAATGTGTTTGGGATTTGGAAGCTGAAGATGTCCATCCCTCCTCTTCTTCCTTCTTCAAATTTAAAAACCATTTTTAGCTGGAGGTCCATTAAAACATAGGCGCTAGCCTGAATTTGGCCTGCTGGCTATTGTCATGGACCAGCGCTGTGGGCCTATTGTCAAGCACACTGCATACAGAAAAGAACCCAGTGAACATTCCCTTGTGTCTAATTTCCTTCTGCTTTCTGGTAACACGCATCACACAGATATGGGCTCTTTCTGTGATTCTAATCAGTTCATCTTGCATTCTATTCTTTTAAAACTTTGTGCACATTTCTGTGTGGATAGCTCACATTCTTATGGATCACCTGTAACTTTGGCCCCCTTGAGGTGGAGACTCACCACAATATAATCCTACTTCCTTTTATCTCCAGATACCTGTGTTGTATTTGCTGTAGGTGAATATTTTCACGACTGTGAATAGGTAATTAAAATTCTGAGCCTTTTGTGGCCCTGGATCCTTAAACATTTGAACAGTACTCTCTTAAGTGAATAGCTCACAGGAGTCAAAGGTATGTGAGTTACTGATGACCCGGATGCAGAGGAACGCAGGGCCTTAGCAGTGAGGGAGTGGGGATGTGGGAAGGCAGAGGCCTCCCATCAGGACCCCACCCTCCGCCAAGAATCTCTTTTGGAATTGCTAACCCCCCTGACCTGCCCTGGAATTTTTACAATCTAAAGGCCCTCCTTTGGGGAGGACAGTGAAGGATTGGGTGTGGTTGCTTTACAGCATCTGGGATCCCACTCTCTATAGGGTAGGACTCTGGAATCTGGGTTGTGTGAAGAATAAGTGAAATATCGCAAAAACACCAGCCAGAGAGTAAGCAATTGACAAAGATAATTAACTAGGTTGTGTTTTCTGCATCCAGACTTTAAAATGGGGCAGGTGGAGGTAAAAGGTCAGCTCCACCAGCACCCCTAGGTCCCCTCTACCTTCGGGTCATTTCGGGTTCTAGATTCTGCTGGACGTGCCCTTGGAACCGTCTGGGAATGGAATTATGGCTGATTCCAGAAGCGCTGACACATCACAGGCAGGGTTCGACTTTGCATGACTACACTTCTTTTTCCCCAGAATTCTGACTTTAAAAAACCCCAAAATCAAATGAAAGCAATCACATAGGTGATATAAGATCCCAAAAATCGTGCTTCCTCAGCTTGTCCCGCAGCGTGAGCGGGCCATGGTGTGCAAGGTTAAGAAGCCCCCAGGCCCGACGGGCGCTTCGGCTCCGGGACGCCTTGGTCGACACTGCCTCCTAGTGGCCGCGGCAGCACCGGGCGCCCACGGCGGGGAAGGCGCATCCCTGGCCGACCGCGCCGCCGGACGGAAGAAGGGCGTCTCTCTCTCTTTCTCTCTCTTCAGCCGCTTCCTTCCGAGCTCTCCCAATGCCCTTTCCATTCCCGCCTTCCCTCTGCGTGTCCTCCACTTCATTCAGTGTCTGGGGACCGATTGTCCCGGGGCACTGGGGTGTTTGGGGGTTTTAAATATCAACGTGGAATCCTTCCCACATTTTGCTCTCGCGCGGTTTAAAAAAAAAACCAGTCATCACTATTTTTGAGCAGCTGATGCTCCGTGGCCTGTGTAAAGGTCCAGAGGTGGAAAAGGGCTTGGCTCTTTGAAGAAACACTACTAAGGCAGGAGGTCAGGGGAGGGGTGGTGGACGGAGCTGAGGGGCTGAGCTGCAGGAAGGAGGGTGGGAGATGAGAGCCAGTGATGGGCCTGGCTGCATTTTGAATTTTATAGCGAGTGCTGGAAAGCTCTGAAGGATTTAACTTGGTTGGGGTGGGGTGCCGGAGTGGGGGGCGTGGCAGTAGTATGTTTTCATTTGATAAACATTAGTTTGGCTACTGTGTGGAGAATTGACTGCAGGGGCGCTAGAGGGAGCTGGGGGCCGCTTTGGAGGCCCCTGGGGTGTGCAGGGGAGGGATGGGTGGTGTGGCCCAGGTACCCCCAGGACGGGTAGGTGCTGGAGAGGAAAGGGCCAGTGCTGCCCGTCCGGCTTCTGGCCAGAGCACCTGGGGATGGAGGTACAGTTTACTGAGATTAAAGCAGGCTAAGAGGGAGATCAGAGTTCTCTTGGACAAGTGGCTTTTGAGATGCTGGGTAGATGGCAGGTTTGTGGGGAGGAGGTTTGGGCTCTTCGGGTGGCAAGTGACAGAAATCTAGAAGACGGGTCCTTTAGAAGGGTTCCGAGCTTCCTTCTGGGGCCCAAGGGCTCAGTGGGCCTCAGGAAGGGAGCCCCAGGCTGGGTCCCCACTGCTCTCTGCATCCGCCTGACCTCCCCTTCTTGCCTGTCATCCTTCCTGCTTCTGCGCAGGTGTGGGGATGGGGGCCTCCCGAGCTGGGGTTGGTCTGGCCAGGCTACTCTTGCTCACATCACCCAGTGCACATCTTACAGCTTTGATCAGTTCTCTGTCTCTGTTTATTTGTTTCTTTTGCGGGAGCCGATGCCCTTCCCCGCTCGACTGCCAACTCCCTGGAGCAGAGACCACTGTGTTATTCGCTCTGCTGTACCCGGGGCTCCGTGCCGTTCTGCCCCAGAGCTTTGTGCATCTTTGTTGGGTCATGAAATCTGCTCCCCGGGTTCCTCAGAGTGCCCAGTACCCCTATGAACATGCTGAAAGTGCCAGTAAATACCTAGGGATTCATTTCATGCCTGAAGACTCCTCTGCCACAAGGAAAAAGGGATGACTGCTTCTCTTTTAGCAGGAATGTTGACTGGACAGGGACTCAGGGAATGGGTTGGGACAAAAGTCAGAGGAAGGGTGTCAGGGTCACTTAGAGTGAGAGTGCTGCCTAGTGGGTGGCAGTGGTGCTGACCTGTCTAGCTGTGACACCCCTCCTGCCCCCGGGAATCCTCAACTGGGCAGAGATGTCTTTAAAGCAAAATAGACATGGACAGTCTGACATGTGGGCTTCGGCAATTTACCACTGGAAATAGGATGTCCTAACAATGGCAACAAAATGGTGATAAAAGATCTAGAAAAATGCATAAACAGGAGTGGATTGCTGGTCTCCACTCCCTTCAAAAAATGGTTTGATAAGTAATTTCATGTAACAGATATGCAATGAGCAAAGACTTAACCTGCCATCTCTGGGGACTCCTCTTAGGGTCTGTCACTCCTCAAAGGCACTCCCAATCCCCTGGATCCCAATCAAGGGATTGAGTCATTTCTCCCACCAGCCTTTGCTTCCTAAGTATCTTACAGGAGTCCGATTGCTTCCACAGGCAGAGGGCATCATTATGTGCTGTGTGCTGTTTGAGGGCCCCTAACAGGTCCCAACTGCTCTGTGATTTATCTTTGAGCCATTTACCTCTGGAATGGGGAGCTCTCTAGGAGTAAGCAGTGGGAGCGAAGGAAGCTGCATGCCGTGAACTCCACAGTGCTGTCCTGGCTCGTCTCGGGGGGAGGGTCCACCAGCTTCTTCAGCAGGATCCCTGCATCCTTCATGTCCACATCAGGGTTGAAAGGTTCAATTGGAGCCTCATAATTGGCAAGCGTGCCCATGAAGAAGTTTTTCACGGCATTTAGAAAGCTCTGGCAGATCTCTGTAGAAGGTGGAACCCAGAGAAGAGAGAGCACATGTACCCCGGCCCTTTTCCAAGCTGGCCAGCCCCCGGGCTGGGCCTGCCGCAGATGCAAACAGCCCGGCCTGTCAGCAAGAGATAGCAGCCTTTTTGTCGGTGGTGTAGACTGTGACTGGTGGGACTCCCGGCTACTGGCTTTTTGGCGCTGTGTAGCTACTTTCTGGGTGGCAGCCAGCTTTTCGCGGCTCTCCTGGGCCTTCACTGCACTTCCTGGGTTGGGGTGGGGCAAGATGCCATTTGTTCTTTCTGTTCGGGTTCCAGGCAGAGTCCTGCTAAGAGAAGCTGCTGATCTGGTATTTGATGCAGTGTGGGGGCTGGGAGGAGGCCCCTGAGGGTTTCTGGTGGTTGTCCCACCCGAAACATGCCTCTTGTCAATGGTTAGTGATGATCTAAGCCATCTGCCAGTGGGGGCATATGACAAGGTCAGCCTCCGGCAGGAAGAGGCACTTGTACTAACCACGCTCCAGCCCCCAGCGCCTGGGAGGGGTGTGCACCATGAGCACTGGGCCCAGGGGCACGCTCACCAGCAGGCAGGCGGGCAGCCTGGGTCTATCCCCTGCCCCACTATGTTCCCTTCACCCGGGGTGCTCCCCAGGCTGTGCTCCTTCCCAGGTCTCCGCCCCCCAGCACATGGGGAGAGTCGCCTACTACTCCCTGCTTGCCCCTCTTCCTAATGACTCTCAAATGCCCGTCCTTAAATTTTCTGCCCTGTGTGCAAATTCTGCTTCCCTGCTTGGACTCCAAGGCCCCTCCCGAAGTGGCCACTGCAAGTGAAATCCTCTGCAGAACTCACATCTCTGCTTTGCAACTTTCTGTGTCATCAGGGAGGTTACTTTATCTTTCCAGAGCTCAGTTTTCTTATCTGTAAAATGGGAATAATATCCTTACTTAATAGGGTTATTGTAACAATGAAAATCTGTACTATTCAGAAGAGTAATTGGCACGTTGTAAGTGTTAAATAAATGTTAGACATTGTTATTATTGCGATAAGTGTGCACACACACACATACACACGCATCCCAGATCCCCCCTTCACTCATTTCAGTCCTACCTTACTGAGCCAATCTGCTCTGTACACAGCAGAGACCTTCTAATGAAGACACATTTCACTCCAAAATGATGTTATTTTCTCCTTTAAAACTAACGTCTCTACATAATACTTGTGGCCCCTGCTTCTTGGTTTTCTAACACCTGCCCCCCGTCCCCCGCCACTCCGTCATAAAACTTATTTCCCTGGGTATTATGAACATTCCAAACTGAATTAATTAGTTTTGCTCAAAAAATTTTTTTTGTCTATTAAAAGGGGTAGAAGAGATTGATACAGACTGAAAAAACAGGTACCCCGATTCCTACAAGATCAAGGGCTCGGAGGGAGGTGACCCGCCTCCCTCCCCGCATTCCCTCCCTCTCCTTCTCCCCCTCTGGCTCCCCCCACCCCTCTCTCTCCCTCCTTTCCTCTTAGAGAACAGCTGCAATTATTCAGAGACTCCTCATCCTTTTTGCAGAGGACAAAACTTTTATAGAAAACTCCACTCTGGGCCAGCAGTTTCCCAAGGGAAGATCCCTTTCTAGAATATTTCTCTTCATCCATAATGGGAGACTTTGCCTCGGGATGGATTTCTTTTGGAGACAGGAGGCCCTGCAGCTCCTTCCAGCTTCTTTGCTGCCACAGTGGTGGGGAGACTCCAGACCTGGGGGCCGTGATACACTGGGGTCTCCTGGCATCTGTCCAGACTGGGCTCTGAGGAGCTCGTTATTCCTATTCCGTTGGTCACCAGGCGCACACATCTATAGGAGATCTCTTCCGTCCCTCCCTCCAGTCATGCCATCCCTGGAATGCTAAGGTTGTTGGATATGGAAGATGGGTTTCCCCTAGTGTCTGGGCTTTCCCCAGATTCCCAGGATGGGCTGGTTCCCCAGACCCAGGCTCCTGGTGGGAGTCAGCATTCCCAGGCCCTCCCAGTCGCTAAACAGAGGGAATGGACAGCTGCCCCTCTCCTGGACAGGGTGGTGGCAGGAAGGGTCCCGAGCCTGGCGTGAGGGAGAGGGGCTCTGGGCACTCACCAGAGGTGCCGCAGAGAGCCAGGGCCCCCAGGGCCAGGGTGACGGCGAGCCTAAGGGCGCGAGAGGTTGGTGAGGGAGGCTCTGCATCCATGTCTGGCTCCGGTGGTGCTGTGGGACATGCCTCTTGGGGTGCCTTCTTACACTTTCTGGGCTGCACTCAAGGGAGGCAGGCAGGGAGCAGGCTCCACTCTGGGACCCACTATTTACTTGGACATTGGCTCGGTGGAAAAAGCAGTTATTCTCTTTTCTCAACCCAGTTTCTGTCCTCATTGAACCTGAGCTTATACCATGGGCTGCTTGGGCAGGGGGAGCCCAGAGTTCCCTGTGGGGCAGCAGGGGCCCCGAGTCAGGGGCGTGGAGACCTGGCTGCCAGTGCCGTCTCTTTGAGCCCAAGCACTGGGGCTGTCCCCATGGACAGAAGCAACTGCAGAGCCCACCTGGACCCACCGCCCCAGGGGAAACTGAGGCCCCTCCCAAGTGGCAGCCACGGGGCCCGACTCGGGACTCTTCAGGTGGCTAGACCTCAAGCCTGAGGTCACACTGCCCAGAGCATCTCCACGGGCAGCCCTGGGGGAGGCTCTGGACTGAAGCCCGTTGATAGATAATGGACTTCTCCAGACACCACGAGAAACCCAAGCCCCGAATCAGGCCAGGGAAGTCGCTGCTCCGGGCTGGGGCTGTTCCCACCCACAGCTGCCCTCCAGACAGGCACCGTCAGTCCTTATCTCGTGTGACCTGGTAATGCTCTTGACCCTCTTGACCTTTTCCTTGCTCTAGTCTCTCTCCTGCCCTCCCACAGCAGATCCTTCCTGTTCCCCCCCCACCCTTCTTGCTCTTCAGATGTTTACTCCTCACTTACATGTACGACTGCGCCCATGTACTTCCCGGCTTTTGCCACAGCCCCTTCTCGCCTCCTGATGCCATGTCCGTGGCCACAACTTCCTTCTCCAGCGCTGGGGCCTCAGTGGTGCCTGGCAAGCAGGAGGTACTCAGTGAACCTTGGCGGGTATTTGCATGTCTCCGTGTTGAAGACACGAGAGGAAGGCCTTGCAGTTTTGTGTTTCCTTGTTCAAGCCTATGTACAGGTGCACCTGGGGGACACAGAGGATCTTGGGTAAGCTGGCTGTTCTCATGCTCCGGGCCATTAGGGTGGGCTTTTCCTTTTGTTCCTGAGGCCCTGCTGTGTCCATCACAGATACTTGGGAGCTTAGCTGACTGCCGTGTTCCTGACCTGATCCTGGGGTGGGATTGAGAGGTGAGCTTAAGCAGAGAGTAGTTCCCAGGTCCACCTGTAGGTAGGCCAGGTAAAAAGACTTAGAACACCCAGGAGAATTTTTAAATCCCCATCCTTGGGTCATAGGCTGAGGAGGATATCTCCATGTGTTCCCCCCCAAACCAGCTGTTAAGCCAGGAAGGCCTCCTGGACCCAGGGCATGATCACAGTGACAGCCCAGGGGCTGCGCAGGGAATGGCCTGGTGAGTGTCTTCAAGACAGTTCAAGAGCCCTAACAATGCCGCCTTTGTGAGTGACTTCGGTCCATTCTCAACAGGGGCGTCTGTGCGCTGCTCTCCAAGGCTGTGTGTGTGTTGTAGGGAAGCTTGAAGCCCTGTTCTCCTTCCTGCCGTGGCTCTGGGTGTTCCTTCCCTGGTTTCTTGGTCCTTCCACGGTCTCTCTTGGGCTCATTCCCTGCTCCCTCCCCGCCCTCCCGTCTCTCCCTGGGCTTCTCCTCCCTGCTCACAGCTCAGTTACCACCTGCATTAAGATGGCTCTCTAATTTCTATTTCTTCCTCAGCCTTCTCTGAGCCCCACCCTTGACCATCCAGTGCCTGCTGGACAGCTTCGTCTAAATTTTTTAAAGGGCTTCAAACTCACTGTGCACAAAGTCAAATTCACGATCTTTGCTCCTAAACATGTCCCCAGGATTCCCTAGCTCAGCGAACAGCCTCGCCACTCAATTGGTCACGTATCCTGAAGACACATCTTTGCTACCTCACTCTCTCCCTGGGGTCATCGGACACAGTGGAACGTCCACCCCCAGGTCCATGGGCTTGGACCGAACACTGACGGTGTCCCCCTCGGTGTTTCTGAGGGTCCTGTCGGACCTGTCGGTCTATCACCCAGGCCCTGCTCTTCCTCATCTGATGGGGCCGTCGGGCCTGGGCGCCGCACTGGGGTCCTGAAGCGTTGGTTTAGTTATTCCCTCCCGTGTGGAGACTATCAGATCCATGACGGGTTTATTTGCGGGACACTTATCTTAAAGATAAAAAATCCACTGAAAGCTGAAAAAAAAAAAGCTGCTTATCATTAAAACAAAACAAAAAACCCACGATGTTATATGCCATCTTCCTTCGGGTTTGACCCCGGGACCCACTGCCCAGTCTCCGGAGGCCGGCCTGTTTGCAGGACTGTTTCAGGCGGCTGCGTCGTGGCCCCCTTCCTGGGGGCTCAGAGGCTGTGGCTGACGGTGCTGACGGCAAGGAAGCTGCGCTGGACCGCCCGGGCCATCCTGAAGCCCCCCAGCACTGCCTCTCGCGGGTCACTGTGTGAGCCGGCGGCCAGTGTGGCCAGGGCTGCAGCGACGGCCGCAGGGACCCTGGGGTCTCCCACTCACGTGACCCGGAGCCGCAGACTCTGTTCTGTGCCTTCCATCCTCTCTGTTCAAGGTCTGGGGGCAGAGTAGCTGGCTCTGGGACTTTGAGGAACTCGGGACGTCGTGGGAGAGAAACAGAGACGGGTGCAGTGGTGATGCGGGAACGTGAGGAGCTAAGAGAAGGCAGTGGTGCCCCGGAACCGGGAAGTGGGCCGGCCCAGGGGGCGGCTGCCCGGAAGGGAGGCAGCGGGCAGAGGAGTTCGGGCTCGGGGAGGGCTAGCATCAGAGCTGGCTTCTGGCAGGTGGGGTGACCTGAGGGGTGTGCCAGGAGGAGGAAGCCTCGTGAGAGGAGGCCCAAGCTCTGGAGGGGACCCAGGTATGGTCCACCGTGCACGGAAAAGATGGAAGTAAGGATACAGAGGAAGCCTGGAGCCAGGTTGGTGATGAGGGACTTCACTGCTTAGCTGATGAGTGTGGGCTGGATTCTGGAAAGCAGAGACCTGATCAGACCCTGCTCCTGCCTCGGCTTCACCCCAGCCCCTTCTATTGTTGGGGCGACGGCTTCCCAGGTAGGCAGCAGCCGGCCTTCCAGATGCGAGGCTGGGGATTTGTCTCAGAGCGCCACCTGGTGGTGGGGGTGTTTCTCTCCCCTGCCCTTGCCTGTGGGACGTTCAGGCCAAACTGTTGAGGCTCAGATTTTCTTAGTCTCCAACACTTGCCCCTCAAATCCTTAACCACATGCTGTGAGTTCCAGGCCAGACCCCGCAAGCCCCCCTTAGAGCACGGTGTGGGCTGGGAGCCCCTGTGCTGGCTACAGGTATGCAGGGGGCTGACAGAGTCTCTGGGGAACACGAGCCTCTCTGTGTGGGGTGTGGGGTGGCAGAGAATTGGCCTGGCTCCTGCCAGGGCCTCCCAACCCAAACTCTACCCTCTGTTGGCTGGGCTTGAGTCGGCGTGAACCCTGACCCCGGTTGCAGGGCCGGTCACTGCCCTGGGCTCAGCCCTCCCCACCCCCAGCTTGGAGCGCCCTGTGCCTGGCTGCAGCCGGTGAGAGGTGCAGGAGACCTCCGGCAGAGCCTGAGGGTGGGACAGTCCTGCGGATCTGGGAGCCTGGCCTGGGGATTTGGACTCTAAGGTCAGGTCTGCTGTGCCCACCCCCATGCTTGCAGGGTATGTGAGCACATGGGGTGCCGGGTTGGTGAGCCATGTTCAGTGCTTTCAGGAACCTGCCCTGGCCCCACTGAGAGGTCTGGTGGCCATCGTGGGTGGGAGGGGCTGGGCCAGCAGCAGCCCCCAGCCCATAAAGCCAGAGGTATTTCCTGAGACCAGATGTTCCCTCCTGGGCTCAGTGCTTGGCTTGATGACGAGGAGGAAGCCTGGGTGCAGATCTGCTGGCATCTGGCTTGTTGCAAGTCCCAGCATGGCCGAAAACAGGTTGGAGGCCGTGGGTGGTTCTGATCCTATCTATCCGGCTGGGCCACTGGAGGGGTCAGGCCACAGGCTTGTGAGGTTGGCTCATGGGACGGGTTGTAGGGTTGAGTTTTCTCCCTCCGCCCTGGGCTTTGGCTCTGTGCTTGCTTAGCAAATAGGTCCTGAGCCAGGCAGACTCTCCCTTGTGGGTTTGCTCCATTTTCTTCTGCCTCGATACTTCCCGGGGCTGATCCCTGCATTGACCTGGGGCCCTCCCGGGTGGGGCCCAGCAAATTCTGCACATTCTAGATATTTTGCTCACCAGCCATATAACTAGGGCCTGTGAGCTTTGAGTGGGCTTAAAAAGCTGCCGTGTATCTGTTGGCTACAAAATATAAAAAGAAAACCTCAAAATTGTAATTAATGAAGATTTATCTAGGTAACATTCTTCCAACTATCTGACTGCAACTAAGTTAAGCTATGGTATAGCTTTACATAGATGTGGAAATCATATGAACCAAATGCACAATCTGTTGTTAGGATCAGAATTATTAAATTTGTACAAGCCCCTTTAAAAATGTATAGCCAAAATTATGCTTATTGTGAGCAGTGGGTATATTTTAATGTGTTTGATATGATATGGGGTGGGACCATCAAAGCTAAGAGGGCCTCATGTCCTGCCCACCCAAAACCCCCAGCTGTGGCCACAGCAGGGCCCAGCCATGATCAGAACAGGTGGGGGGGGGCGGGGATCAGAGGAAGAAATGCCTCAGTTTCTCTCTTGTCCCATCCTCTGATCAATAGCCAGAACCTTCCATTGGACAAATCAAGGGGCATTCTGCCAGCAAGGGAGGCCTGATTCTCCAGAGATCAGCCTCCTGGGGCACAGAGCAGATCAGAGAGCGGTAGAGAAGGGTGGGCGGGTAAGTGTCAAACACAGATCCACCAGCACATAGTGGTCGCATTCTATATACGTAGCTCTGGATCTTGCTTTTCCCATTTAATATTATGTCTTAGGAAGCTTTCAAAACCTTAGCACTTACACACTTGATTTTTTTCTTGCTGCAGAATATCCCTTTGTGGTGAGTAATATGATTTAAGTTACCAGAGTATCTTATGGATGGACATCTGTACGGCTTCCGGTTTTTCTGCCCTTATAAACTATGGACCCTTATGTACCCGCCTGCTTCTGCCCTGGGGGTGTCCTGTGGGAGAGATGCCTGGGTTTGGACGTGGTACCCATGTCTCCGCTGGTACTGACCTTCCCAGGCTGAAGCCCCCCGGCTCCAGCTGCAGAGGGTGTCAGGGCTGAGGAGGCAGGAGGGGGTCTGGGAGTATCAGCTGTCCTGACTCCCACAGGGGTCTCGGGCATTCTCCCAGGGCAAGTCGTCCATGAGCGCACAGGTGGGGACAGAAACTGGCAGAGACGCTCACGTGGGCTGCTGGGAGGCTTCCTGTGGGCGCACGTCACCCACCCCGAGCTGCGGTTGTGTCCAGGCCCAAGTGACCTGGCTTTCACTGTTTTCAGTTGCCGGGGGGGTGGGTGGAGTGACCTGCTGAGGATTTGAGCCCTTTCCGGGCTCTTCAGCCAGGCAGATGGGCAGGCAGATGGGCTGACACTTGGGGGGCTGGCAGCTGGGGATGGGCCTTCTGGGGCGCCCGACAGACACAGCAGGTTCTTAGGTCTGGGCGAAGCTTCCTTGGAGGGGTGGAGACACTCCCGCCGATGGAAGCCCCAGTTCTGCAGGGTGGAAACTGGCTCCCCTCCATTTTGCATGCTGATTCTGGGGATTTGGGTAGCAGATTTGGGGGTTGACAGCACAACGAGGCACGATTCACTTCTTGACGTTTCCCAGGGAGCGGGCTTACTTTATTGCTTAATTCTGCAGGCTCTTGGTTCTGCAGTGAGTCACCCAGGCCCCGCCCTCCTCCCT